TTTGGTCCGGCGACGGGCGTTTTTCTTTTCCCTTTTCTTTTGTACGATTATCTTTTCTTTTTAACCGGTCAGTTATCTCCTTTGGAGATCCGATTACCGGTGGTATTGTGAGGGCCGGTTGCAAGGTGGCTGCGACCAGAAGGCAAAGAGAGAAGAGGTCCAACGGGACGACGCGAAGCGAGAGAAACGGGGAGAGACATGCGTGCTATTTATAGGGACCCGGTTGAATAACTTGTACAATGCGATGATACATGTGCGAATAGCTTCGATTTTCCACTGTTATCGGCGAGATCGGCCGAGGAAAACTGGATTCGAGGCGAGCCGTGAATGTAACAACCCGAATGGGACATTAGCAGGACCGCTATTTATACCGAAACAAGTGGCGCGTTATAATTGCAAGGGTTTCACGGCGCCGCGCCGCGGCAATCGCTCTTCCATTTGAAAATTAGCCGCCTGTGCGCGTCAATTTCTGCGCGAGCGAGACTACTCGCTTCTCCCTAACTTATCTTCTTTCGCTACGGATTCAACTTAAATATCCGTTATGCGTTACCCTCGATCATTTCTCAGGATACCTCAAAGGCTGAACCTGGAGGTCGAAGCCACGCGTTCAGTTTCGATAGTTTTCGCGAGGCTAGGGAATGAGAGTGTTAATAAACCGCCATAAAGTACATCCGCAGATTACGAAGGGAGGGAGACGTATCGTACAAAGTAGAGCCCGAGGCGTGTTCCAAATGGAATCAAAAGACGAATGAAACATCGAAAAGTACAGATCCCGGGGGCAGCTATCCTGCAATCTACGGCTGGTTTCATAGATCCTGAGTTGATTGGTAACAACCGAACCCGATGGTTCGAGACGTGTATTCGTGGCGAAGTGCCGCGGAAGGTCGTTTACCCTTTCCGCGGAGGAATCTCTTCATCGTGAAGTAGCCGCCTGGACGTGGATTATCTTACTCCGTGTGCAATATCTTCGGCTACTACCCGCCAGCGACTCTCGAGTGCTTTCAATTCGATCGTCGACAAAGTGGATCTGATGGATAGTCTCGAGGATGACTCGACGTTTCCAGGGAAGAAAGGAGACATTTCATTTTTAGCCGGGGAACGTTAACGTGAAATGAATTACACGCCAGGGGAAAGGGGATTCGTCGAGTGGAGAGAGAGAGAGAGAGAGAGAGAGAGAGAGAGAGAGAGAGAGGGAGAGCAAGAGAGATTAAAGTTACCGCCACGAATAACGCGCTTTTCTACTTACGTTCCTCTTATTTCATCACAAACGCACCGCGCATCGCGCTTCGTTACTTCGTTATTATATTTTACATCTGTTTATCCAATTTAGGCTTGATTTTCAAGCTTTGAAACCCCTCATTCTTGTTCCGTGTTCATCAACCCACCTGAGCAACGTTTGTCTACGAGCTATAAATACCTGACTTCCTTATACACGAGGAAACACTCCAGCGATGTCTATGATATTAAAATATTTTATGGAACGTCATTTGAATTTAATGCTTTCTATGTGCACGGTACTTCAACGAAACCACTGGTATTTGTATCGCACAGGAGTGCATACAAGGTGGAAATTATAAAACGTTACAGTGGAATATCTCCGAAAATATCGATTATACGCAGGAATATTTCAGAAAAACGTTTAAAACCTAACAAGAAGCTTCGAGTGCGAAATGAAATTCTAGAATGCCAAAGAAATCGCCACTGTTTCGAGCAACCTGTAATTTACCTGAACCGTGCAAGAATGAAACACAATTTTCTGAAAGAAGCATTCCGAGCACCGCCGTCGGTACCCGCATTGGTACGCAAACGGACGAAGAGGTGCGATTGAAAATCGATGGAGGAGACCGCACGATGAAGGCTGACGTTCCCCCGGCATCAACCGCAGACGGTGTCGACATGAATGCATAAACTCAATGGGTCATTACCGACAGTGTTTACGATTTCAATTACTGGCCGGCTGATAGCTGATCATCGCCGTGTCACGGATAAGGTTATTCGCATGCGGCAAGTGTTGTTACGTTGCGTTGTCGGGTGGTACCGACGACTCTCGATCGTTCCTATCGGTCGAACGATCAGGAAGTATTCCAAATGCTCGATCATCCGACGCTGGATAATTAAAGCGTACCGCGTGCAGCCACCGAAGGCGGGGTAAACTGGTTCGTTAGCGGGAGTGAGATCGCATAGTTGATTAGAACCTAACCGTACCGCACCGACGCGGTGCGCACGTTGAGAAAAATATTAATGACACGGCATAAATTAGTTACAGTCGATCTGCACCGCTTTCTCGTGGGTTTCGACCCTTTACGAGTTACTTCGAATTCGATTAACCGGAGCAAATTCACAGGTGTCGGTACGGAAACGACCCTTTGTATTAATCCTTTTCGCACGAGAGGTGATTCACCGCTAGGTTTGATGCAGTAAATCTGCCAGCAATAATAATTAATTCTTTGGAACTCGAAGCGTCGATAAGATGATTGTCGGCGAGGTAAAGGTGACCTGATTAAGCTTAGCATTCGTGGCAATAAAATGCCAAGAAAACATCTCGAGTTGCTGGTAGATATCAGAAAGATAGACCTCGAGTGCATGGGGTTAAAGAAAAGTTTCATTCCAAGTTTTACGATTCTCGAAGAAGAAGCCACTCGAATTCATTATTCCTGGATAATCCATTTTATTCGAGAACGCGGGGAAAGTCCATTCGAGTGAGACTAGCTGTTCAGAAATTTCCCAGGGAACGAAGGGTCGACGAACGATGAATTTTCATTAGAGGAAAGCGTTTCGTTCCCGACGTCTCGCTGTTAAACGGCCATTGGAAAAAAGGCCTCGAAGCAGGTGCAAAAGATCCGCGCAGACAGTTTCACTTCGAAAAATAGAGCAGCGAGAAGCCACGACTCGACGATGACTCAGAGTGGGTTTCATCCTGGGAAGAGTGGAGTCCTTGACCAGGGTTTCGCTCTCGTATAGAAATTAGTGATAATTATATGGGGCTAGCACCTGCACGCAGCAGCAAAAAACCCAGGACGCCCTGTCGGTCTTTTACCTTTTTTTCGCTTTAAGAGAGCCGTTCGAGGATGACTCAAGGCAGCATTAGGCAAAGTTAGCTCGATGCACGTACGATAATCCCGCGAAAATCACGATAAAATTGCAGGAAGCTGAAAGAAACGTCGGTTGAAAATATCGCGCGGGAAAGTAATACGCTCTCCTCCGAGATGGTGTAACTAATTTCCGTTTTCTGTTCAGTTTGATCGCGCTCGATCGGTGCCGCGGGGTCATTAACGACGATTTTATTTTGAATAATGTCAGGCTAACGAGTAACAGATGAGGCGGGAATTTATGCGCTTTCGCTGCTCTATCGCACTGAAACGTGTCGCCGATTATTTTTTGACCTCGAGTCGAAAATCTCGACTCGAACGCGAATGAAACTGGAAGAGGGTCTTAGCCTCCTATCAAAGTCGACGACCAAAAATATTCTTCGATAATTTACAGCAGCGCGAATCTTTTTTAATAAATAATTCCTCGCGCCCGAGGCAGAACCGTTCTGGGTTTCGTTTGCATTACGCTTCGTTCCGCGGAGTTATTTACGACTGGAAGCTTGTCAAATCTCCAATCGCTTAAAAACTCGGAGGAACGCCGTGGGCGTGAAAACAGCCCGCCGTTTCGGCTGTACGTATAATTTACACACGACGAAAACGCCACGTTCGTAAATTCTTGCGGTAATGCCACGTTTACGACTCAATATACCCAGAACAAATTCTGGACAACGTAAAACCGTGCGAGGGGTGGCTTTGGTCCGTCCAATATCTCTGCGTTTCATCATTCTTTTACGCCGCCACCAACCAGCTACTTTCAAATTCCATTTTACGCCCCGACTTTGACGTATGCTGACCGAAAATATTTGCCAAGTTGGCTGTACCGTGCGGAGGAATGCTCTTTTCGACGGAAGAACCCCCAAAACATTTGCGAGGAATGTTTGTGGACGTTCGTGGAAGCACCTGTCCGACTTTTTATGGTTTGGTGAAGTATACTGGCCGAAAGGAGCCACCTGAATAAATCACTGTTTTACTTAGACCGAGATACACGTGGTAAATCTTTCTTTTGCGACGAGATATAAAATCTTGCGTGCAAAGGTTTGATGACTGATGGTAGCAGAAAGAAATGATATAAAAGTACAAAGTACAAGAAGGTGTGTGGTGGCCCAGTTCTCACAGGTGCACGGTCCGCCTAACTTTTCTATATAAGCCATTCTCGACCGACCACCAAACATACCTCTAAAAATCAGATTCAGTACTCCGAAAATGGTAAGTGAACCGTGAAATTTCAATAAAATCTCCATCGAGAGTACCGAGATGAAGATCGTCGAACGGTCCAGGAACGGGAAATGTTCGTATGCGAATGGTACCCTGGATTCGATGAAGAAGCTCCGACGACGAGGGCAGTTTGTATCGGGAAGGAGGGATTTCCGCGTCTGAAAACGCGAAGATCCCCGGGAACGATACGTTGGATTGAATTCGAATGGCTTTTGGCAGCAGGCGTAGTCGTTATTCTGATTTATCGCGACCGTTCGCGCTGCCAGCGCCGACAGAACGACGTGAAACAATAAAGCCGGACGGAGCGCGATTCGCGTAGTAACATTAAATAACGAGACGGCCGTGGCCGTGAAAGAGATTCGATCTAAAGTGCCGGTTACAACGTTGTCGTAACAACTTTCTTCGTCTCCTTCTACCGCAGCGACCTATCGCTCGTCCGCTCGAAACGCACGCGGGGGAGACCTTTCGTCGATCTATCGCCCCGTGACCGGTCCGACTCGCGCGTCGATTTTCCCTGGAAAACCGTACCCAGAACAAGCCTTTCCTTTCCGCGACCAATCCCTCGATCCTTACGATTAACAACGCAGAGTAACCGACGAAGGATCGAATTGATTTTCTGGTTTCCTTCCCGATTCAGGCTATTCCACATTCGAGGCTAGATTAGCTCCGATTAGAAGTAGAAGATACTCTACTTACCTTTCAGCTGTGTCGACTCGATGGCGAACATGTTGAGGGCCAAAAGCTGGAGGAGCCGCGCCCCCGGAAGCGGCAGCGGCGAGTGCTGAAGAAGCGCTCGGAATTCCTTTAGCATCTGTACACCGGCCTCTTGGAACGTCTCCATTCTGAAACACAAATTTCAAAGCTCGATAGCACCGACGTTGAACCCTGTCAACCGCGATGTTAAAGGATAATCGGATAAAAGTGGCCACGACGGTGTTCGTTCGATCTCTCTAAAATAACATCGCAAACGTCGCGACTGACAGACAATCGACTGGAATGGGAAGGGAGTATGAATAAGTGAAAAGCCAGCCGTGGCACGTATCAGTCACTCGGCAGGATCGTACATATTTCAGGCATTTTGGTCTGGATGAGGACATCGACCTCCATCTCGACCAACCTTAAAATATCGGAAGGCGAATTCAGCCTACCCTAGATTGCGGATATATTTGAAATTCCTTCGCGAACAGTCACGTGTCCATAGAACAAATAGTATCGTCACAAGGATCAAAATTTTATCGCGAACGGACGAAAACCAGTCCCGCAACGCGATCTTCGCGAAAGAGGGAACCATTCGTCGGCGCGTTTGAACTTCATCCAGCGTTATTCGAGCTGCATTCTGCCAAGTCTGAATCGAGTTCAGATACATCAGACGTGATAATTCGTCCGGAACAAACTGGTACACTCTAGAGGGAAGCCGTTTCCACTTCAAATTCCTTACCCCGACTCACACCCACATCCGAGGAGCTGTTCCTAATCGCGGTCTGCGTGCCACGTACTCGCCATTTTGGAGATACGCGGTGGACTACCTTTGCAACTTATTCTTCGTTTGTTTTTTTACTTTGCTGGGGGTATTCAAACACTGATAGTGGGGGTTCTTGCATGCTTTCAAGTGGCTCGAAAATAACAATTCCGTGAATTTAGATCTCGCTGAGTTTAATACGAGAATCAACCAACGTAAAAAAAAAAAGGATAGCTATTTTTCTTTGCTTTGGCGTCCTGGCTAAAGAGACTCCCACGCATGGAGACAGTCCGCGTATCGTTCTGTCGACGCTGTCCTGGAGACGAGCATCTCGCGAACCGTGTTCCAGTAATTAGCCATAACTCGTCTTATCGTTGTCCTTAACTTATCAGAGCCCGCCCAATAACGCCATCATTTTCTTACGATCGACACGGCCGACGCATTCCAGGGACGCCCGTAACGAGGCGTACGAGGAATCAGCCCGCTTCAATTAGAGTATCAAATTATTTATTTGCGAATTCCTCGATAAGACGCGTGGCGAGCGAAAACATCCGATGCTAAGCGAAGAATGCGCCCGAGCACGGGGGATTTAATTAACCGTCCCGATGTTTTTCCGGCACTGGAAAATTTATTTCACCCCGAAGGGTTCCTAGCTCGCCGTGCTCGTGCACGTGAACTTTGTAATTACGATTATTTTAATTGGACGATAGACCTAATATTACGACGCGGCGCTGGTAAGGAGACGCGTAGCAATCAGACCGATAAGGTCTTCACCTAATTGGATGAATTGTGGTTGCGTAACCGATGAAATGATGCTAGATAATTCACTCGCGGCGCGTACGATCCGCGGCGCTAATTTGTTTTGCTTTCTTGTAAAGTTCTTCGGTAATGTTGCATTTTACGACGCGCGCAGGAAATAACGTCGCACGCGATGGCGCGTCGATCGCTTCCTCTATCTTCGACTGATAATTGCGGATGGAAATCGACTCGTGGCAATATTGGATTCGGGCGGGTCGATTTCCGGGCGTGTTCGTCCGCAGGGAAAATTCTCTTCGATCGGTTATGTACACGATATATTTTTTATTCTAAGCAAAGGAACTCGGGCCACCGAGGGGCACCTAAACAACTCGCGCACAGTTTAGTGCAATATTAAATGCTTAATATTAAACATTTTCCAGAAATTAATTTCCAGACTAGCGCGATCGTTAACCGAAAGTATTTCGCCAGACAGTGATGAATCATTCTCATAAAACCGAGAAAACGAGACACCTCGTGCTTTGCATGTGCACCTCGATGAATTGGCAATTAATTTTAACGGATGCTAATGCAGTTTTACATCATCATAAATTTTGCAACTCTCTGTGATAATGTGGGACTCTTGGGATACGAACAGGAAAGTTGAAGTAGACTGAATGTAAGAGACCCCGGGCCGCTAAGGTACTGTTAAACTCCCGTTTCGAACATTTATCACAGGCCTGACAGCTGTACGGTGAATAAACGCCCCAAAAAGTAACATTACATTTCATAAGATTCTACGGTAACGTAATCTATCGCAGGAAGAAAAAAACGTAAGGAAGAAATTAGTTCAAACTGTCTGGAAGGATGAACGATGAAAGCTAACTTGTAAATCGAGCTTATTCTAGAGTCGAAAGGCTACAATTAATAGAATAGAAATTAATTTCCCTCCTAATACACTCGTCGATCCTCGAGAGTTCTCCGGACAGCGATGAGTAATTTTCAAAAAACCGAGACGATAATGGCCCTCGGCGTTCTTCGAGTATATCCGATAAAATGGAAATTAATACCACCTCTGCTAATGGGGTTTTGCATCATCATAAATTTGCAACTCTGCGCGATAATGCGGGACTCTCGAGACGCGAGCACCGAGTCGAAGTAGACCAGAATGCAAAGGACGTTACCAAGGTACTGTTCAATTCCCGTTTCGAACATTTATCATTCGCCTGATCATAGGGTCCGTTCGGCGAATAAACGCCCCTTGGAAGCGTTGCTCGACTAATTCGCTCGATTACTGTTTCCGCGCTTTCCTCCCGTACCATGAAAAACGCACAGGGAGACCAAGGGTGCATTCGTTTCTAGGCTCGTAAAAGTCGTCGAAGCAACGTGCCGGGGCTGCCGAGACAGAGATTCGCGGATGATTTCGACGCTCCTGGGAGGATAAGCTCGCAAAAGGAGAAGAAGAAATTAACGACGATACCGCAGCGCGAGAACGGTCATCTAGCCAGCGTTGATCTCGCTTCGTTGAACTCGAATGATAAAGGAGCGAACGTCTGTGCTCCCGTGAGACCTACTAAACAGGCACCCACGGTAAACACAGCCGGAGAAACGCCGCTGAGATCTCACGTACCGGAGGCGCTATCTTTCCCACAACCTCGTTCTCCTCTTCGTGGCGCCGCGATGCATCTAACGTCTCAGTCGACCTCCCTTGGGTTACCGATCTAGAGAACTCTCGTCACGGCGCCCGTGTCTTTCAACCCAATTCCGACCTATCTCCATCAGGGATCGATGCACGGTCAGGTTGTCCCGCGCGCTTTCAACCATGTACGATTACTCGATTAATAATCACGTTTTAACAGTTTTGATTATGGTCGAGTAAACATATCGATAGATTGACTTGTCCATCCATTGTTATATATATCCACGTTCGAATAATTTCTATTAAAATTGAAAGTAAACGCGGAGTTTCGCTTTCTATATTTTATAATCGTTCAGGCGTTAGTCGTCGTACGGAGGGGCCATTGAAGACTTGGGCTTGATTCGAAACATGGTCGTAAAGCTACCATCTTTATTAAGGACCCGCAGCTACGCTGGCAATATTCCAATTTCACGATGGCCGTCGCGAGACTCCACGACCTCTCGCCTAGTCGGCTGTCTTGTTTATTTCAACATCGGGCTGTTTCGATCCTGTAACGGATCCACGGATCTCAGGTGGATCTTGTTACGCGCTTACAGCGCTTTACGGTAATAACTTTATCCGAGCGTTTCCGAAATGGCGGACTCACGACGCGCGACAACCCTTCGACCGGTTTACACGACTGTTTACCGAACAGCATCGCGAAACGGCCTATCTATTAACTCTTTCAGGCACACGATTGTAAAAGATAAAGAAAATTCAAGCTGCACAGGAGAAGTTTAGTCGTTTCAAAATATGAGCCATCGATGATACCAGGAACAAATGCAACGTATGCAGTCGAACCTAGCCTTCTCTCCGCATGTATCAGCATAACGTGTTCATCTTCCGCATCGCTGCATACGCTTCGTTCAAACAGATGGAAAAATGGTCAAGGAACGAGGTGACTAACGCGCGCTATATATTCCGAGGCACCCGAATAGTTACTTCGCATAGCTGGAAGGCTGTTCCTGACTTCTCGAGATAGATCTGCAATTAGGACGTCGATATCTTATCGACTTCGACCACCTTTCGGTTTACTTCGAACACGCCGGCTGGCAATCTTCGCAATTACTCGTCGATCTTCGATTTATCCGTCGAAGGGAGGTGCAACTCACCATGCAACACTGCGAGTTGCAATTACACGCGAGGTACACAACGCCTTGCTGCTTGTTCCTCGCTACTTAGAGACGCTTCGCGTGCTATCCTCTGCTCTGACTTTCCAGCGACCACGTCGTAAACAGGCTGTAATTGTTAACACCGAAGGGCATTCTTCGTCGCACGTAGAGTGGCTGTTCTCCGAGCAAGCTTTATTGTTCTATTTCCGGCTCGCGCCCGGTCCGCGAGTCTCTATGCCAGAGGTCTCAGGTTTGATCGCACGTGGGAAGGACCACGGGTGATTTGCAAGGAGTCTTGGGTGTAATTGTAGGACTGGACGAGCTGGTTCATAAATATCCTCCTTTTGAGCGTGCATATCGTCGCTGAGATGAACGACAGTTTTAATTTTGTTACGAGATAGATGGGCCTGCTAATGAATGGAGTGTGATCGTCGCACCTCGAGAAACACTTGAGAAAAGTATTCAAGCGGTGCAGTTGCAAACGAGTTACGAGAACTCTGAATCAGAGACTTCGCATTTTCCAAAATTTCTCGAGAAACAGGAATCGTAAACGAGTCGCGATCTTTTCTCTCTCGGCAGGGAACACTGATCGGCGGAGACGAAACAGAGATTCAACGACAGTGTGTCAAAGCACGCGCATAAACTTGCATCGATGGGACGATAAATCTGTTCGAGCGCAGTTAAACCCGAAGAATCGTCATACCGATGCACCAGCGGCCCACGAGAACTCGGAACTCGGCGGTCCGTGTGTGCGACGCCCGATTAAGTTTACGGCGCTTTGATAGACGCTAAAAACATGATTACCATGCGTCGCGCAAGAGTTACGCAGGCTTAATAAGGCTGCGCTTGCAGTGTGGC